CTGCAATTGCCTCGCCCAAAATCAGAGCCGCCAGTGGTCTTCCACTGGCTGCCCTTTGTCGGCAATGCCATCTCCTACGGCACGGACCCCTTTAACTTCTATTCCCGATGCCGCGAAAGGTACGGTGACATATTTACGTTTGTCCTGTTCGGCAGGAAGATGACTGTCTACCTGGGAGTCACAGGCAACGACTTTATCCTGAATGGAAAACTGCAAGACCTCAATGCCGAGGAGATCTACAGCCCGCTTACGACGCCTGTCTTCGGGAGCGACATCATTTATGACTGCCCCAACTCGAAGCTCATGGAGCAGAAGAAATTCGTCAAATTCGGCCTCACGCAAAAAGCCCTCGATTCGTACATCCCATTGATTGAGAAGGAGGTCATTGACTACATCCAAGCCGCACCCGCCCTCCAAGGCAGCCGAGGCACCGTCAATATTCCCCAAGCGATGGCCGAAATCACCATATTCACGGCCGGGCGCAGCCTTCAGGGCGCCGAGGTCCGGAAAAAGCAGACGGGGGAATTTGCTGAGCTCTACCACGATCTTGACCTTGGCTTTCGCCCCATCAACTTCCTCATGCCGTGGGCTCCGCTTCCCCAGAACCGACGACGCGACATTGCACATGGCCGCATGCGAGATATCTACATGCAGCTTATCAACGAGCGCCGCAAGGCGGGAGGTTCCGAGGAGGATGAGGAGCCCGACATGATTCGCAACCTGATGCAGTGCATGTACAAGAATGGCCTGGCCCTCCCTGATAAGGAGATTGCACACATGATGATCACGCTTCTGATGGCCGGGCAACACTCGTCCTCGTCCTCGAGCGCATGGATCATGCTACGTCTTGCTTCGCGCCCTGATATCGCCGAGGAGTTGTACCAGGAACTGAAACAGCATGGCTTTGGGCCGTCGCATCGGCTCCAATACGCCGACCTCGACAAACTCCAGCTTCTCTCGAATGTGGTCAAAGAGACGCTCCGGGTACATTCCTCAATCCACTCGATCATGCGCAAGGTTAAGCAGCCGATGCGAGTGCCCGATAGCGACTATGTCATCACCCCCGATAAGGTCCTCGTTGCTTCGCCCATCATGACACATCTTAACGAGGACTACTTTCGTAACGCCCTAACTTGGGATCCGCACCGGTGGGACGATGAGGTGGAAGCCGAAGACGATGATATTGTCGACTATGGCTACGGCGCCACTTCCAAGGGCACCAAAAGTCCGTACCTACCCTTTGGTGCCGGCCGGCACCGTTGCATCGGCGAGAAGTTTGCCCACCTCAACCTTGCCACCATCATCAGCACATTGATCCGACACTTTAAGTTCGCTACGCTGGACGGCAAGGCTGTGGTGCCGCCCACAGATTACACATCCCTATTCTCTCGGCCGACCCAGCCTGCGGTGGTGCGATGGGAGAGACGTGAACGAGTAGAGGATCAGAAGGTTTTCAGTGAAAGACTTCCCTAGACAACACTGCAGCTCTAACTGCTTAAAAAAATCATCTACTCACCCCACTCTGTTATGTGCGCGGCGAGTGCCGGTTATTCTAAGTGACTTGACATGATATCAGGTAGCAACCTCTGTCTGAACGGGAAGCGACATATCAGGCCCTCCGCGGGGAAGAAGCTCCTCGCGGAATAGGCCCTCGACTTACATATTTATGAAACCATGCAACAGAGGCTTTAATAACTTGGAGTCTGGACTCTGGCCGCTCGATCGCTACGCCTGTCCCTTATCAGGACTTAGTAAGAGACACCCCTAGATATAGGCAATATACTCTATAAGAAGAAAGGTTAGTTATTTTACTAACTAAGATATAGCCGGCCTAACCAGCTATGCGGTCGCTATTACTAAGCCGTGTATCTCACAGTAAACGTCGTACTGTTACACAGGGAACAAGACATAGAGATGGAATTACGAAGCAGAAAGTGGTAACGAGCGCACCTTTAGACAAGGCTGTGGAAGAAGAGGCGGGCTACCCGCGTATCGGGGCATTGCTCTATGCGATACAATTGCGTTAACGGACGCTTTATACAGTTAACGGGCCGGCGTGTTTGCGCTCTTCTTTGTTGTGTACAAAGGCGCGGCAACACACCGCCAGTGTGGGTGATTTGCGGTGTAAGTGGTGGTTCACCACGGGAGCAAACAGATGCGGATGCATATACGCACGGACCCAAAGGCTCCCCCTTCCTTGTTCCTTGTTCCTTTCAAGAGACAAAGGCGTTACAGGAAGTCACGGTTAAGCCATCCATAAATTTGAGGCAACGGTGCAAGACAACTCGCCAGCTTGGCTGCGAGTTGGCACAAAAAACAGCCTCCTACTTTAGACGCCCCCCCCCCAAGGTCTCTAGTGGCAGACTAGTAGCGGGCTAACCAACCGGTATTGTATCCGAGTTCCGAGTCTAATAAAACCATCTCAGCCTTTCGTTTGTGGCACACAGGCCAGTGACTACCTAGGTAGCGACAGCTGGGCGCCACCATCATGACCTGACCTCACCTCCGCCGAAGTGAACACTTTTTCAGAGGGGTCAATTGCCCGGAACCGTGCTAGATAACCCCGGGGACCCCCCCCCCCCTCGCTAGCCTCAGGACAGCTCGATCGTGTTCCTCCGCCCAGCACCATCACAGACTCCCCAAAATTACATCTCTCGTATCGGTCTCCCGCACTATCCTAGGCTCAACACCAGAGCACCCAGCCTGCACCCAGCAAAAGAATGCCGCAGCCGGAAGTCAAGAAACGCAACGCAAGGGCCGCTGGCACGAGCACCACCATGGAGCCGCCCTCCGCGACGTCAACCTCGAAACGAGGTCCAACGTTGACGTGGCACGAGGCCGCTGAGTGGCAGCGCGACAACAAGTACATCCTCAGCGGCTATCGTCGTGAAAAGGCGGATTATCTCGAGATCCTTACCAGCCTGACCTTCCTACACAACGAAACGTGCAATGTGTACACTCACCTAATCGGCGCAGTGCTCCTGCCGCTCATCGCGACGACTATCATGCGGGGTCTCACACATTCTCAATTCTCCATCGTGTCGGGGACCGACTACACCATGTTTGGAATCTTCTTTTGGTCTGCTGAGTGCTGTCTGCTTTTCAGCGCCGCCTTCCACCTGCTTGGCGCACACTCGCACGAAGTCGAGAATTTTTGGCATCGCATGGACCTACTAGGCATCGTCATTGTAACGATGGGCACCTTTATCCCAGGAATCTATTACATCTTCTTCTGTGAACTTTCCTTGCAAAGATTTCACTGGTTCATTGTTGGTCAACCCGAATACTTACTCGTTTCCTTCTTCGCCGCCAGGCTGTCACATACTGACATTATCCCCACCTAGGTTATCTTCTCGGGATCCTCCACAGCCGCCCTAATCTGCATACCTGTCTTTAGCACGCTGCGCTGGCGAAAGGTAAATATAGGTGCATACCTTATGCTTGGCGCCTCAGCACTCATCCCGCTACTGCATGGGTCTCAGCTATACGGCCCTGAGTACATGGCTCAGTATTCGGGAATGAACTGGTATCTGCTCGAGCTGGCTATATACGGTAGTGGGACTACTCTTTATGCGGTAAGTCTGTATAACAAATATTCTTTCTAACTAGAAACATCCTGTGATCTGACTACTTTACATAGCTCCGGATCCCCGAACGCTTTGCTCCTGGTAAATTTGATATTTGGTGCAGCTCTCATCAAATCTTCCACGTCTGCATCTTGTGTGCTATGTATATACACACTTTTGGCCTAATGCAGGCTTTCACAGCGTGCCATACATTGGACATCTGTAAAATTCAGGCTGCTTATAAAGCAGGTCGAAGATTGTAACAGGTTGGAGCTTAAGGACACAAACTTTAGACCTAATTCGACAAATCGGCAGCTTATAGTAAAGAGGTTTAAGGAGATCAAGGTTAGAATTATACGCAATAGTCGCCTAGTATAAAAGCGTTATAATAGATAGTTAATTATTATATAAGTTTAGCTACTCTAAATACTTAAAATCCCTATATAATTTCTAAGTATTTATAAATTTAAATTTAAATATAATCTTTATTATTATATACTATTTTATTATTAAAATAGCTAAATTAATATTATTAGTATTTATTAGCTTTCTATATATTAAATATAAGTAGCTATTACTTAATAATCTAAGTTTATTATATTATATTATAATAAATAAAATATAAAAGGAAAGCTTATAATCTAAAGAATTACTTTAATATTTTATTTACTTTATTTATAATATAAATATATATTACTTTACTTTCTTATATTTTATTATAAGTATTATTAAGCTATATTACTTTCTAATAATAGTATTTAATAAGTATTTAGAAGATTTAATATTTATTTATTTATTAATTACCCTAATTAGACTTTATAATCCTTCTAGTATATTAATAAACTTATAAGTATTAGAAAAACTATAATAATAAGTTATATAAATACCTTACTATACTAAGTATAGACCTAGAGTTACTTAAGTAAAAACTAGCCTTTTATATATACTAATTTTATTATTATATAATAATTCTTAATAGTATTTAATAGTATTTAATATTCTTAGTAAGTAAGTTCTTAAGTTATTACCTTAATCTATAAAAAAAGGTATACTAAAAATATAACCCTAATAGCTTTAAACTAAGCCTAGCCTAAAATAAGCTTAAGCTTTATTTTTTTATAATAAATAACTAAAAGTATATAAATTACTTATATATTATTATATATTATATATTTTTTCTATTTTTTCTATTTTTTTTATTCTTTTTAATTTTTAATTTTTTTTAATTTTTTTAATTTTTCTAATTTTTCTAATTTTT